ATGAAAATGAATGAAACATGAACACATACAAAAAAAGACCTAGCTTTATTTAGGAGATCTGTTTTCTTCCTGTGTTTATAAGGAGAATGTGGACTGCTTACCCGTTAGGGTGCCTGACAAACTGTCCATAACAATGGAAATGCAGAGGATCGGCGTGATTTCTGCGGCATAATGAATCACTTCAGGTACATTACTGTAACCGTAGCCCCAGACCTGTCTTGAGATGAACAGAGCAAAGCTTATGGCAAAAGATTCAACAGCTGCGATTATGATTGCGACAATTGCAGAAGCTCTAGCTGCGACAAGGTTTCCAGCTCCTAGTTCGTTGGCCACATTGGTGCTACAAAAGTTAGCAAATTCCCATTTAAAAAAAAAGAAAATCAAATAGTTATAAACTGGCTCATACTTTGATTCTTTGTTTGCATTTACTTTTAGGTTTACATGTGTTTTACTTCAAATGAAACTAGGGTTAGGAATCTCACATTTAAAGTAACAGGAGACAGACATTATATTAAGAGACATATGTCAATCCAGTCATTGATAATTAGTTTTGAATTATAATCCCAAAAAACTTTTTATAGTATAGAACCCGAATTCAACCTAAGTAGATGCCAATAGGATATGTTATCGATTATATAATGAAATCAGGTTTGAAATGGAAGAAAAGTTATCATCTTGAGATGATGTTTTAGTTAAGAATCTGAGATATAAAATTATTGATATATTAGATTTCATGGAATCAGAAACATATACGAGGAAACGAAACGTTTGAAAACATGGAAACAATTTTTTTAAGAATCTAGGAAATAGATAAATTTTGGAAACGCACGCACGCGCCCACACACATTAACAAAACAACAACATTAGAACGATATTTAACAAAAAATGAACAACACAAATTCTATACATAAATATCAAATAACTTAACAAAAGTTAAAAGTTATAACAATTGAAGACAAATATTTAAGGGAGATTAGCTAGAATAACCTACTTTTTTTAAAAAATAGATAGAATAACCTTACTATTTTTTTATTGCTGAAATAACTTATTCTAGATTTTTTTTCTTTCATAATACCAAAATTGTCCTTCGCAAAACTCTGCCGAGGTATTGGCAGACTCTGCCGAAATATTGGCAGACTCTACCGAAACATTGACAGACTCCGCCGAAGTATTGGCAGTCTCTGCCGAGGTATTAGCAGACTTTGCCGAATCGTTGGCAGACTCTGCGGAAACATTGGTAGACTCTATCGATGTATTGGCAGACTCTGCCAATATCTAGAAATACGCAGACTCTGCCAAAATATTGGCAGACTCTGCCGAACATTGGCAGAGTCTCCCAATGTTCGACAAAGTCTGCCAAGGACAATTTTGGTATTATGAAAGAAAAAACATCCAGAATAGGTTATTTCAGCAATAAAAAAAATGGTAAAGTTATTCTAACTATTTTTTTTTAAAAAGTAGGTTATTCTAAATAAATTTTTCAATATTTAAACTATCATCTTTATTTTAGTTTTCTTTTTCATCTGTTTTACCAAATAAAATTTTCTCCAATTTCGGTTTGTCAAGAGATGATAATCTTTGTAATCAAGACTTTTTTATAAAACTCAAATCTCAAAAGAAATTAATTTCATTCAATGAATCAAATAGATCATCTTCAACATTCAACATATGGTTAGGAAAATCTTTGTAAGCAAGACTTTTTTATAAATAAAAAACGTAGATTAGTGTGCACAAATATCTGAACTTACGTTCTTTGTTGGAACAATCATATTTCTTGTTAGAACAATCTTTCATAATTTTGTTGTTCTTAACCTATAAAAATATCAAATATATCTCTACGTTTCCAAACAGAATATCAAGTTTCCGCCGCGTTTTCAAATGGATTCAAACATTTCCAAAATAGAATTGAACACTTCCGTCACGTTTTTAAGTTGATATTTCTAGAAAACGTGTTTCCATGGCGTTTTTTCGTGTTTCCAAAAGTTTCTATTTCTGAAACAGGAAATGCAACTCGAACGGATATTCCATGTAACCTATTACCAGTTTTCTAAACTACGCTATACACTAACCGGATGGTGGATCACCATATAGCGTATAGACGTACGTATACACGGACGTTTATCTGGAAGATATATGGTAGTTTTTTT